GAGCCAGTAGAGGATATTGTACCCCTGGGGAGACCTTAGGTCTAGAGGTGGCTGAAGATGAGGAGATGGTGGAAAAACATAGAACTGAACTCACCACAGAAGAACTTGTAGGCCTTCAGAAGCAGCAGCAACATATTGAGGGGGAGTAACTGTCATCAGAGGAAGAGGGAAGGGATGATGTGTCCATTGCACTTGTCAAGGAAATGTGTGGTAAATGGCATGAAGTGCAAGAGTCTGCTGAAAAATACCATCCAGACAAAGTGGCCATCCGTTTCTCCAACATATACAACAGTGTAATGTCTCAATTATGACAAGTTTTCAAATGGAGCCTGAAACAAATCTCACTGGACAGGTTTTTAGTTAGACAAAGAACCAGTGAGCCAGAACAAGATGCTAGTGGTGAAAAGAGACAAAGAAGAGAAACAACACCAGAAGGACAGCTGCCCGACATATTAATAGGAGGCACTCCTTCCAAGCAGTAACATACCCCCTTCCCCCCCCCCACCCTCCTGCATCCAGTATGCCATTAGCTCTCCTCTGACAGGTAAGAGGCAGTTAAATTTTTATTTACTGTACAGTATTTCAGTTATTTCCTGTACAGCATTTCAATATATCTTCCATTCTATCATATGAGACCACAAGTACAACAAAGTTGCTGTTGTAAATCAAAAATACAGTTGCAGTTTTTCCATTATGCACTGCCTGCTGCAGGAATTTTTTTTTTATAAGGTGCACACTTACCACACAGACCCATTCCCTCATATCTAGGCCCAAATTTACCGCACACGGCCTTATCTGAATGAGCTGAGCTCATGGCGAAGAAATACGGGACCAACCCGGGCTTCAAAGCTGTAGTACTATGGGACCGACCATAAAAGTAAGGTTAAGAGATGAAAGAAACTAATAAAGTTTGAGTTGTCACAGTTGCTTTTTTTGCTGATGACACTGCTTTTGGGAGACTCTGAAGGTAAGTTGCAGAGGTTAGTGAACGAGTTTGGAAGGGTATGTAAAAGAAGGAACTTAAAAGTGAACGTAGGAAAAAGCAAGGTGATAAAGATGACAAAAAATTTAGGTAATGAAAGACTGGATGTCACACTGGAGGAAGGGAGTATGGAGGAAGTGAATATATTCGGACTTGAGTCCTGGAAATGGGAAGTACAATGCCTGCACTCTAAAGGAGGGGTTTTGGGATATTAGCAGTTTGGAGGGATATGTTGTGTATCTTCATACGTATATGCTTCTAAGCTGTTGTGTTCTGAGCACCTCTGCAAAAACAGTGATTATGTGTGAGTGAGGTGAAAGTGTTGAATGATGATGAAAGTATTTCTTTTTGGGGATTTTTTCATTTTGGGTCCACCCTGCCTCGGTGGGAGACGGCCGACTTGCTGAAAAAAAAAAAATCTGGGAGTGGACTTTGTCAGCAGATGGGTCTATGAAAGATGAGGTGAATCACAGAACTGATCAGGGTAAAAAGGCGAGTGGAGTACCGAGGAGGCTGGAGACAAAGAATGTTATCCATGGAAGCAAAAAGGGGAATTTATGAGAGAATAATTATACTAACACTCTTATATGGGTGTGAATCACGCTGAAACAAGAAGGATGGAGGCAGTGTAGATGCCATGTCTAAGGTCAATGTGCATAATACAGAGAATCCATAGCCTGCAAAGTAGAAGACCAAACAAAACACTTTCACCATCATTACACTATCAGTCTTAACAGAGGCATGCAGATACGACAGTTTAGATGCCCCCTCTAAACAGCAAATATCCCAAACCCCTCCTTCAGAGTGCAGGCCGTCTCCCACCAAAGTAGCCCCCCCCCCCCCCTCGCCAAAAAAAAAAAAATATTGACATTCACTCCATCATTGTCCTGCCACAGGGGCAAGGATACTACAGTTCAAAACTGCAAATTTTCCCCACCCATCTTTCAAGAGTGCAGGCACTGTACTTCCCACCACCAGGACACAAATGTAGCTAACCAGTGCCCCTGAATACCTTCATACATGTTACCTTGCTCACACTCCAACAGCACATCAGGTCATGAAAACCACTTGCCTTCACTCCTAATACGCTTGCTGGATGTCTAAGCTTCTCACACACGCACAAAACCTCCTCATCCCCCCTCCTACAACCTTTCCTAGGATGACCCCCACCCCCATCTTCCCTCCACTACATATTTATATGCCTTCCAAGTCATCCTAATTTGTTATGTCCCATCTAAATGTCCAAACCACCTCAACAACCCCTCTTCAGCCCTCTGGATAATACTAGTAGTAACCCCACACCTCCTAATCTCCAAGTATGAATTCTCTGCATAATATTCACACCACAAGTTATCCTCAGACACATCTCTGCCTCCTTGTTGCAACAAGGAACTACATTAACCCTTTGACTGTCGCGGCCGTATATATACATCTTACGAGGTACCGTGATTGACGTATATATACTCATAAATTCTAGCGGCTTCAAATCAAGCAGGAGAAAGCAGGTAGGCCCACATGTGAGAGAATGGGTCTGTGTGGTCAGTGTGCACCATTTAAAAAAAATCCTGGAGCACGCAGTGCATAATGAGAAAAAAAAAACTCCGACCTTTTTTTTTTTAATTAAAATGCCGACTTTGTGGTCTATTTTCGTATAGTATTTATGGCTTTTATTCTCGTTTTCCTTGGTCTCATTTGATAGAATGAAAAACATATTATAGAAATAGAGGTGATTTTGATTGATTTTACTATAAAAAGAACCTAGAAGTGGAGCTCAAAGTAGGGGGAAATGTTTGATTTTTGCCAATGTTCAAAAGTAAACAAATAATGCCATTGTCCAATAAATGTCCAACTAGCCATTCTAATATGCAGTCATGAATGGGTTTATGTTATTTATACAATTATTACAGTGCTGCAGTAGTCTGCATAATATAAGTCTTCTATTTTTTGTTTGAATAAAAATTCAAAATAGAAAGCAAGTGTAACATCAGAGGGGCCTGGAGACATGACTGATGAACAAAGAAAATTGTTTATTTTAGAGCCAGGAATGTCTGCATTGTTCATTCTGGACCTTATTTTGAAATTGTCATATTTTTAGTTTTCGTGAAATTGGCCAAATTGCAAATTTCTAACCACATTATTAGGTAGTTAATCGGTAAAATGGACAGTTTCTGTACTCAATCGATAGAAAAAATGGAGTTCTAAAGAAATAGCTATGAGTTTGGGCAACTGGAACAATGGAATTAGCTGAAAATAGGGCACAAAGTGGGCGAAATAGCCAATTTGTAAACAGTGCCGAGGTCGCTAACTTCTCGAGAGCATAATTCCGTCAGTTTTCCATCAATTTTTTTTTTTTTTTTTTTTTTGGTGTCATTACAATGGGGAAAAGATTCTCTATCATTTCATAAGAAAAAAATAATTTTTTTTTTTTTTAAATTTTGCAACACCAGGAGGCACCTCAGGGTTGGGGGTTGTGACAGTCAAAGGGTTTTAATTCTGGAGGTCTCAAAAAGTGAAAGGGTTAAACAACAAAGGCAAAGTGAAGGCACATTAAAAATTCAGTTTCATTAATTTTTATATCTACTTTTCATTCCTAAAACATGAAAATGTGTCCCAGTTACCCACATCTGAAAACATTGAACCGAACATCCTTGCCCGATGACCAAGTGAGAAGTATATGTACCAAACTTTTAAAGGGATTGATACAGCAGATAAGAGTGAATTAACCCTTTGACTGTCGCGGCCGTATATATACGTCTTACGAGGTACCGTGTTTGACATATATATACTCATAAATTCTAGCGGCTTCAAATCAAGCAGGAGAAAGCTGGTAGGCCCACATGTGAGAGAATGGGTCTGTGTGGTCAGTGTGCACCATATGAAAAAAATCCTGGAGCACGCAGTGCATAATGAGAAAAAAAAAAACTCCGTTTTTTTTTTAATTAAAATGCAGACTTGTGGTCTATTTTTCGTATAGTATTTATGGTTGTATTCTCATTTTCTTGGTCTCATTTGATAGAATGGAAAACATATTATAGAAATAGAGGTGATTTTGATTGATTTTACTATAAAAAGATTTTTGTTTGATTTTTGCCAATGTTCAAAAGTAAACAAATGATGTCATTGTCCAATAAATGTCCAACTAGCCATTCTAATATGCAGTCATGAATGGGTTGATGTTATTTATACAATTATTACAGTATTGCAGTAGTCTGCATAATAATGTCTTCCATTTTTTGTTTGAATAAAAATTCAAAACAGAAAGCAAGAGTAATATCAGAGGGGCCTGGAGACATGACTGATGAACAAAGAAAATGTTATTTTTAGAGCCAGGAATGTCTGCATTGTTCATTCTGGACCTTATTTTGAAATTGTCATATTTTTTAATTTTCGTGAAATTGGCCAAATTGCAAATTTCTGACCACATTATTGGGTAGTTGAAATCGGTAAATGGGCAGTTTCTGTACTCAATCGATAGAAAAAATGGAGTTCTAAAGAAATAGCTATGAGTTTGGTCGACTGGAACAACGGAATTAGCCAAAAATAGGGCTCAAAGTGGGCGAAATCGCCGATTTGTAAATATCGCCGAGGTCGCTAACCTCACGAGAGCATAATTCCGTCAATTTTCCATCAAATTTCGTGTTTTTGGTGTCATTACAATCGGGAAAAGATTCTCTATCATTTCATAAGAAAAAAATATTTTTTTTTTTTAAATTTTGCGACACCAGGAGACACCTCAGGATTGGGGGTTGTGACAGTCAAGGGGTTAAGGGGCCAAAAACAAAGAGATACTGTTGGAAGCTAAAGAGCCATAAGGATAACTGAAAAGTGGAACAATTTGGATAAGGGAGTGGAAATAAATGACAGCTTAGGTACTTACAATAAGACCTGAATGCCTAGGAAACAAGAATGCCAGGAGGCAGTTTTGATTATCACAAACAATTCTGAGAACATATCTTTATCTCTTGACAAGTTGTTTTCAAAATACCCTACTCTAAACACTTCAATTTACACAACTTACCAGAATCACCATTAGCAACACCATTCGTCTCTTCACTATGTCCATTCGTCATTGCTGAGTCGGCACTTTCCTAACAGATGAAATAAAGGATTGCTTTATTTTTTAAAACTGCATTTTTAAATTAATTCTTCAAATATTGGTACATAATATGCCATGACAATTCCTATCAAGCACAAACCTTCTCTTCATCTTCATTTGTCTCCATTGCTTCCACTGTAGATCCGCTTTTGTCCTCTGATACATCTTTAGTTTGCCTGCTTCTTTCTTCTACAGCTACACCAGTTTTTTCTTCCTCCGAGTCTTCTGTCTTTACTTTCTCCACACCCCCTTTTGGCTTCTCTTCCTTTCTTGGCTCCCCTGTTGTGGACTCTGCCTTGTCAGTCTTTCCGAATTTTTCCAAATCTTCTGCCTCATCCGTCTCTCTCATTATTTTTGACTCTTCTAACACGTTAGTTTTCTTTAGTTCTTCTGTTTTGTCTGTTCTTTTCCGGATCATTTGTCTTATCCATTTTTTCTAGCTTTTCTGTTTTGTCACTGTCCTGTACATCTGTGTTGTCTGTATTTTCTGGCGCATTTGGCTTTTCTCTGTTCTCCGGGACATCTACTTTTCCAGTCTCTGCCTTCTGAGATTTATCTGTGGTCTCAACATTTTCAGACTTATTGGTAGCTTTAGCCCTTTCAGACCTATTGGTTGCTTCAGCATTTTCAGGCCTATCAGTTGCTTCAGCATTTTCAGACCTATCGGTTGCTTCAGCATTTTCAGGCCTATCAGTTGCTTCAGCATTTTCAGACCTATCAGTCCCTTCAGCATTTTCAGATTTGTCTGCCATTTCAACATCTTCACACATATCTGTCATTTCAACACTTTCAGACTTCCCTGCAATTTCAACACTTTCAGATTTTCCTGCAATTTCAACACTTTCAGACTTCCCTGCAATTTCCACACTTTCAGACTTCCCTGCAATTTCAACACTTGCAGACTTCCCGGCAGTTTCTTCAACAATTTCAGACTTCCCTGCAGTTTCTTCAACACTTTCAGACTTCCCTGCAGTTTCTTCAACACTTTCAGACTTCCCTGCAGTTTCTTCAACACTTTCAGACTTCCCTGCAGTTTCTTCAACACTTTCAGACTTCCTGCAGTTTTTTTCAACACTTTCAGACTTCCCTGCAGTTTCTTCAACACTTTCAGACTTCCCTGCAGTTTCTTCAACACTTTCAGACTTCCCTGCAGTTTCTTCAACACTTTCAGACTTCCCTGCAGTTTCTTCAACACTTTCAGACTTCCCTGCAGTTTCTTCAACACTTTCAGACTTCCCTGCAGTTTCTTCAACACTTTCAGACTTCCTGCAGTTTCTTCAATACTTTCAGACTTCCCTGCAGTTTCTTCAATACTTTCAGACTTCCCTGCAGTTTCTTCAACACTTGCAGACTTCCCTGCAGTTTCAACACTTGCAGACTTCTCTGCCATTTCAACACTTTCAGACTTCTCTGCCATTTCAACACTTTCCGACTTCTCTGCCATTTCAAAAACTTTCAGACTTTTCTGCCATTTCAACACTTTCAGACTTTTCTGCCATTTCAACACTTTCAGACTTTTCTGCCATTTCAACACTTTCAGACTTTTCTGCCATTTCAACACTTTCAGACTTTTCTGCCATTTCAACACTTTCAGACTTTTCTGCCATTTCAACACTTTCAGACTTTTTGCCATTTCAACAAATTTTAGACTTCTCTGCCATTTCAACACATTCAGACTTCTCTGCCATTTCAACACATTCAGACTTCTCTGCCATTTCAACACATTCAGACTTCTCTGCCATTTCAACACTTTCAGACTTCTCTGCCATTTCAACACTTTCAGACTTCTCTGCCATTTCAACACATTCAGATTTTTCTGCCATTTCAACACTTTCAGACTCTTCTCTCATTTCCAGACATTCAGTCTTGCTAGTTTTATCTATTTTCTCTACCATATCTATTTTTACACTTTTTTCTCTCTCTTCTGTCTCCACCTCTGGCTTTTCTGCTGTTTCCACTTGTTCTGGAGTTTCTGTTTCCTGTGTGTTTTCCAGCTTGTTTGGGCCTTCAGACTTCTCTAGCTTTTCTACAGCTTCATCTTTTGTACAGATTCTTTTGACTTTTCTGCATTATCTGCTTTTTTAGTTTTTTCTACTACCTCCTCTTTGTTTTCTTTACTGCTGTCCATTGGAGTTCCTGGTTTTTCCTTTTCTTCATTTCCCTTGTCCACTACTTTCTTCTCCTCTTTTTCCTCTTTTTCTTTGGATATCTCTGGCTCTTCACCATTTGCTTTAAAATCTGGAGTTTGCTTCTACTTCCTTTATGGGCGACTTCACTTCTTTTGCAGTCTTTCCAGAGCATTCACTTTTAACTTCTGTGTTGGCACTGTGAATAAAGATGGCAATCTAACATTAGAATCAGCATGTAGGAAAAGTATCTAACAGCATAAAGAGCAGTGGAAATCACTTCATATAGTCAACCAATAAAAGTACTAAATAATTTAAAATATACATACTGCATAAAATTACATTGTCCTCTACATGCAGACCCTGTTAAACAGTTTTCTGGTATGAAATTCTAGTTTATGAGTGGCAACTGATACATTTGGGAACATTTCCTGCTTGGCAACACTTTGTTCATAAAATATATGCAGTGGGTGGAGGTCCAAGTACTCCAGGGTCTAGCCATGTACCATAAAATGCTGTTTAAAGATTTTTTACAAGTTTTAGTAGACAATCAATAGCTTAGGCAAAACTAGCTATATAACTACAGGTTAATACTGGCACTGTTCCTAGAGGCTGCAGGAAATTCAGAAACAGCAAAGACATTACTGTACTACAGTACTAAAATGTGTTCATTTAATTAAGATTTGTGCTCATATTGGTTCCAAAAGCCATCTCTTGAAAAACTGCACTAGCTTCATTAATATTGACAGTCATAAGAAATCTCCAGTGTGATTTAAGCTGGGAAATTTAGTGGTAGTATTTTCAACAAAATCCAACAAAAAATTTAGGCAATGAAAGATTGGATGTCAGACTGAAAAGGAGTATGGAAAAAGTGAATGTGTTAAGATATTTGGGAGAAGACTTGTCAGTGGACGGGTCTATGAAAGATGAGGTGAACCACAGAAGTGGTGAGGGTAAAAACAGTAGGTAGTGCACTGAGGCATCTGTGGAGACAAAACATTATTCATGGAGGCAAAAAGGGAACTATCAAGAATATAATGGTACCAACACTCCTACATGGGTGTTAACCTTTACAGCAAGGAGGCTGGAAGCAGTGGAAATATATGTGATAAATGGTGTGAGGATAATGTGTAATGTGAATATTATGAAGAGAATTCATAGTCTGGAGGTTAGGAGGTACAGCATTACAATAAAAGTATTATCCAGATGGCTGGAGGAGGGATTGCTGGACATTTTGAGGGGATGGACAAAAATAGGATGACTTGGAGGAAATTATAAATCCATCAGAGGGAAAGAATGGTAGGGATCATTTTAGGAAAAGGAAGGAAAAAGGGGGGTAAAGGTTTTGTACGTGAGAGGCTTGGACGTTCAACTGGCACACGAGTGTTAGATAGGAGTGGAAGCAAGTGGCTTTTATAACGATGTGCTGTTGGAGTGTGAACGAAGTAAAATTTATGAAGGGATTCAGGAAAACCAGTTAGCTGGACTTGAGTCCTGGAGGTAGGAGGTACAGTGCCTGCACCCTTAAGAAGGGGTGGGGATACTGCAGTTTGGAGGGGCATCTCAGCTGTAAAATAGGCATGCCTCTGGCAAGATGGTGATGAAGCAAGTGAAAATGTTTCTTCTTATTCGGGTCACCCTACTTGGTGGGAAATGGCCAGTGTTAAAAAAATAAAAATAATTCAGCAAGTGCATTTTCCAGAAAAGCCTAAGATTGGTTATCTGTTTAGGGATTGTGCACAATCAAAACAAATGGGCATTGTAAAAATGCTAATACCTAAATGCTAGGAGGAGGACCCTAAAATAACATGAATCAGAATACACTACCAAAATTATTTGTCAATCATGTAGAGTAAAAAAAACTGGTCAGATGATCTGCCAAATTTATGAGCTTCATAATTCAAGGGATTTGATTATACAGTACCTTTTTTTCTTTCTTTCAGGGCATGTCATGAATAGGTTGATTCACAAATTGTTTTGCTTTGTTCATTTTCTTTTGTCTTGAAAACTAACTTTAGGATGTTGCTCAAAATCACGTAGTTGGATTTCCTCACCCAAAAATGCATATTCATTCTTTCTTACAAATGTCAATATTAATCTGATTGAAAATACATACAGTAGGGCCCCGCTTTACAGGTTTCCGCTAATACGGACATTTCAAATTATGATCAAAACTCGCTAAATGGCTTCCCCCACCCAGTTTGTTTACATTCTCTGTGAGCTCTGTAAGCACCATGTCTCTCCATTATGTCTGGAAACTCCAAAATTTCAAGTGTTTTTAAGAAGTCGTCCAAGCTCGGAGCACGGAGTAAAAAAAAAAATAGAAAAAAAAGCGAAAATTGAGTTATTGGTACCAAAAAAATAGCTGAACTTTCTGGCTACACTCTGGTATAATTATTATCCTTGTACGATGTTTCTAAAAGGAATTACAGTCATTTATAACAGGCATGGTGACAGCGCCTTGCCTCGCAAAAACTTCTCATATGCTAACTTTTTTCTCTTTACATCATCTTCCACCAATCGCTCCTCTTCCCTCCCACACCCACTTTCCTGTAACCAAAAACTTCTGCTGAACACTAAAAACTACATCTTTAAACCTACCCATACCTCTTCGACCCCATTGCCTATGCTCTCATTAGCCCACCTATCCTCCAATAGCTGTTTATATCTTACCCCAACTGCCTCCTCTTTTAGTTTATAAACCTTCACCTCTCTCTTCCCTGACGCTTCTATTCTCCTTGTATCCCATCTACCTTTTACTCTCAGTGTAGCTACAACTAAAAAGTGATCTGATATATCTGTGGCCCCTCTATAAACATGTACATCCTGAAGTCTACTCAACAGTCTTTTATCTACCAATACATAATCCAACAAACTACTGTCATTTCGCCCTACATCTATCTTGTATACTTATTTATCCTCTTTTTCTTAAAATACATATTACCTATAGCTAAACCCCTTTCAATACAAAGTTCAATCAAAGAGCTCCCATTATCATTTACACCTGGCACCCCAAACTTACCTACCACAACCCTCTCTAAAAGTTTCTCCTACTTTAGCATTCAGGTCCCTACCACAATTACTCTCTCACTTGGTTCAAAGGTTCCTATACATTCACTTAACATCTCTCAAAATCTCTCTCTCTCCTCTACATTCCTCTCTTCTCCAGGTGCATACACGCTTATCATGACCCAATTTTCGCATCCAACTTTTACTTTAATCCACATAATCCTTGAATTTACACATTCATATTCTCTTTTCTCCTTCCATAACTGATCCTTCAACATTACTGCTACCCCTTCCTTAGCTCTAACTCTCTCAGATACTCCAGATTTAATTCAAATTCAAAGTTTATTCTCTATAAGGATTACAATGCTGAGTTTACAGAATTTGGTTATTGTGTGGTTTACATGTAGTTAAATAATAATTACAAAGTGTACCACTAGAACACCTAGCATGGCTAGGCATTTCGGGCAGACTTAGATTAAAATCTTAAGTTTAAAATACAGTGGACCCCTGCATAACGATCACCTCTGAATGCGACCAATTATGTAAGTGTATTTATGTAAGTGTGTTTGTACGTGTATGTTTGGGGGTCTGAATGGACTAATCTACTTCACAATATTCCTTATGGGAACAAATTCGGTCAGTACTGGCACCTGAACATACTTCTGGAGTGAAAAAATATCGTTAACCGGGGGTCCACTGTATTACAAAATTATGAGGTAAGTTGGTATTATGGCTAAGTGACTAAATACTAGTTTGTGATTTTTAGCAATGTGAATGCTTTTGTTTTGGCACATACATAGTTTCAGTATTGGAGTTATCACAGGCCAACTTATGACTAGTTAAGTTTTCATTATTTTGAGATTGGGGTTTTGATATTTCTGTTTATGGTCAAATGGGTGAGCGAGTGTAAGTGTGA